GTTTATCTTTATCCTGTTTTCTTAATGGACAAGTTTCATCTCCATATAGAAGAACTGGCCGACCTGACGCAGCATACACTCGACCCTTAACAGATAGCCGAATGTCGCGACGGCGCCACAGATGTATCAACTTACCAAATCGAGCCTTCTGTATGCGAGCTGACACTTCATCCGTGCTACGTCCACCGAGTGAGATGTAGCTGCCCAGATAGCAAAATCTGTCTACTTACTCTATTACTTTCCCTGTTAGGGTGAAACAGAGTGCTGGACCAACCCATTCTTGTAGTAGCATTTTAAACTTTGAAGGTACAAAACGCATACCACATATGGATACACTAGCGATCAAACTTTCCAAAAAAAGCTTGCAACTTGCCTGGATCTTCACTTAGTAGCACAATATCGTCTGCATAGTCTAGATCAGACAGTCTGCCACCTGGAAGTAGATCGATACCCCTATCCTCGCACGAGGATAGGGCTGTTTCAAGAAATCTATCACGAAGTTAAATAGAAATGGATAGAGAGAGAGAGCAACCCTGTCGAACATCACTTTCTGTAGTGAACTCCGGTGAAAAAGTGCCGTAAGCTCGAACTCGGCTTCGGCTATTAGTGTAAAGCGATTGGTACATCTTTCAGAGAAAGGCAGCGCTAGAGTTTAGAGCGACAGACTGAGTCGAAAGCCGCTTTCACATTCAGGAAGACAGAGATAGTGGGTCTATGAAAAGAATGTCGGTGCTCCAGAGTTTGGTGAAGAGTGAAGCTATGGTCGACAACTTCGACCAGGTCTAAAACCAGCCTGGCTCTCACGCGTGCACTCTTTACATGCGGTAGACAATCCATGAAATGTGATGCCAGTGAGAAGTTCAGAAGCGATGTTGATTAAACTAATCCCCCTGTGGTTTTCACACGAGGACCAGTCACCTTTCTTGTAAATCGGTATGATTACCGATTCACACCATTCAGTTGCAGCTTGTTCACTCTTTCATACTAAGCCCAGGAACTTCGTTAACTCCGAAACCAAGGCTGAACCTCCATTTTCAAAATCCGATGGGGACTACCCGTCTGGGCGGGAGGCCTTAGGCCTTTTGAAATAGCTTAGTTCCCGGAAAAACTCCAGTTCACATGCAGGACTGGTATCGACTTGCAGTATTTGCTCAGCCGCGTTGGAGAATACTAAGTCAGGTGTCGATAGGGGCCAGTTGAACTGAGCCTCGAAATGTTGGCCCCATCGATGCTGATCGTGAATCAGTGTGCCTTCGGATTACTTAATTACCTCATTTATGCCTAGTTTCCTGGGGCCTGTATTCCTAATTAGATGGAAAACATTACGACCATTACCGATACCCGCAGCATGCTTCATCTCGGTACACTTCCCTACCCACCAGTTCCCGCGGTCATTCCTCAGACTCTGAGCTGGCGTTTGAGGAAATTGCGTGCTGCCATATGTAGCATCAGGAGGAAGGGTTCTGCGGGCATCCAGCAGGGCAGCCGACGTCAATGAGATCCACCGTTTTTTATCTGATCGTGTGCCAGAATCTGCCGTTGTTTTGATTGACATTCGGATTACTTTCTTGGTTGTCGTCCAGTGTTCACCGAGTNGTTGAGTGGCGATCTGATAGTTCCGCTTCGATGGCCGATTTGCAACCGTTGTTGAAACTGTATTCTGGGCATCCGTTTGTGGTGGCTTTTCGGTGGTTATTTATCAGGCGTAGGGAGAATCTCGCTCGTAACAGAACACGGTCCGTGTCCATGGTGTTGACCAGTAGGAGCGGCAGTCTTCAATGGATCCTCGCCATCGGTAGTTGATAGTGATGTGTTTGATTTGAGTCCAGCGTTGTGAAGAAGTTGGCGGCCTCCATGTAAAGCGATGCCGTTTCTTGTGCGAGAAGTTCGTGCCTGATAGAAGCAGTCCGTGATCAGCGCAAAGTTGGAGTAGGTGTTCTCCGTTGTTAGTCCGGTGGGCAGGAATTGCATGTGAAACACAAAGTAGCCTTTCTGATTCGCCCAGGGATCCTACTTGAGCATTGAAGTCTCCAACGACTACCACGATGTCCGTTGACCGAGCACTTTGGAGCAGTTGTAGGAGGTTCTTGTAGAATTCATCTTTCACTTCAGGCGAACTGCAATCAGCTGGTGCATACACGGATACGACGAATAAACATCAACGCTGTTCTGTAGCTGATGATCCGTACTCAACCATCCGGATGCACAGCGTAAAGTCAGCTGCTAACCGCGATCCAGTCGAGAAGTGAACGCTCGACTTGGAAACTCGGCGCAATCCCAACACCAGAAACACCACTAGATTCGGATGCCGAATCGCCTGACATATGGAGAGTGAGGCATGAAGATGATGTTGGATCTAGAGAACGGAGGGATATGATTGAAGTAGGGTTTTGTATGCGTGTTTCGGGGATAGGATACATCTGAATGAAAGATTTCAACGATTCTAGCTAAGGCAGCTTGTTGACCGATCTGTTAGAGTGTGCGGACATGAAATGCGGCTAAGTGAAGAGATTTTGGTTTCAAAAATCTGACAACCTCTGAGTCGTTGACCTCATTAGTTGAACACAAAGTGATATCCCATGGA